CGATGTTGTACAGAATTAATTTACTGATGCTGCAGGCTACCTGTGCAAGCCGACTCCAAATCCCTGCAGCTACTGCACCTTTTCTTCAAGCCAAAATAAAGGTATCTGAACATATTATGCAGAACTTAGGTAGATTAAAATAATGTCAGTGTATTTAGAAAAATACTTTGAAAGTAAATAATATCTATTATACATTACTAAAAGAAAAGAATACCTCTTCAATCAGTTTAGTGTTTGATTTCTCTAGTGAATCAACTCTTGCATGTAGACTGCTAACTGTGCTACTGAAAGAGAAAAAGAAAAAACATTATTCAAAATTACATCAAAACTCATCCAACCAAGCTCAAAAGCTTTAATGCGAGGTACAATGATTAATGGTTAAGTGCTAAAAGGTCTGCTCCTGTTATTTGAGGTTTTCCTAAACACAAGAAAAGTAGTCTCCTTTGTTGAACATTTATATACTTCTTCCCAACGGCCAATGTCATCCCTGTCACTTAAACTCCTGGTTGGGTGTGACTTCACATGTATTCTCCCTTTCCTTTATCCTCACAACTATATTGTATCCAAACATTTAATGAGTCCCCTTAAAAGACAGTTTACAATCTTCTTGGGGGTTTTTCCCCCATATAACGAAACCATTCTCCAGGTTCTCTTCCTCCAAAGCCCATTTCTTTTATAAAATTATTCGTTTCTCCACATTTTTTTGAGATTTATCCTCAGGCTACCTCTTTCTTGATGCTTCTTGACTTCATTTATAAGTCTCATCAGAATTTTATTCCCTTTTATTACTCTGTGGTTTTTTATCCTATCGAACTACATCCAAGCCTTCTCCATTACCTGATTGCCTATTTTGGCTGTAAGCACATTTTTGTAGGCTGCACTTAACACAGAAAAAAAAAAACAACCCCAAAACCTATTCCATAACACCATTTACTTTTCCAGATGTTTCTACTGTGGTGTCCTCAGAAGTTACCAGTTCAATAAGAACGGCAAGGTAGAGCAGATTAATGCATTTGAGGATGTGTGGAAAGGAACAGCTGATCTGAAATAAAATAGGAGAGCTGTCGAACCACTGGTTTGCAAGTAATTCCATGCATAAACCAGTCTACAAGAACATACTCAATACACAGGGTCTCACCTGAATAGCGACAGCTATCATCACACAAACACTGCTATTCTTAATTGTGCTAGTTCCTTTCTCCTCCTGAACTTACTTCCATTTTGCTCATATTTGACGCACTGTGTCCTGTTCAAGGCTTCTGCTCAGTGACTGACACAATTTCAAATCAGAGTATCTTTACCCCAACAGTAGCCATATAGTAACTAATGATCAAGATTACCAGCATTAAAAATGAAAAAATACAATTACATTTCAAAAAGGGATCAAGAAGATCAGCTATAGCACAGAATCTACAGAAGTCTTTGTGTGTTTGTTGGTTTTCTTTTTTAGCTCCTCACACTGTTTAATTTTGTACAATACCCCTCAGAGAATTACAATCACCGTTCCTCTATTTGTACAGTAACACACACACAGCGGTGGACTAGGTTTGCTCCATCCAGCAAAGTAAGGGGGAAAGGCTGCTTTCCTGAAAACTGTTTTTATAGGAACCACAACCTACAACGTGTAAGTGGTTTCCAGCAAGCAATGAATGTATTCAGTTTTGGACCTAGGCATTAAAGCTACAAACAAAAATATTATGAAAGGCAAAGAAACAAAAACATGCGGATTCACCCAGAACACTCAATGACACTTTTTGAAAACCATTAAACAGAATGCAGTTAAAAACCAGATCAAGCTTTTCATTCCTGTGAAGCTACGAATCGTGAGGACCTTGATCAGTTTTGGCCTGCTGTTTTTCATTTCTTTGAAAAATAAAGGTTCTGACTGTCAAAAACAAAAGCATGAAAACTGAGACTTCCTGAGTCTCTCCAGAAGAGCGTATCCTTTCCAACTTCACTACATCCTCAGGCTAAACATGAAGAATTTGCACCCCTTTCTCTGCAGTTCTCTCTCGCAAAGCTGTGGTGCAAGAGGAATTAGAGGTGTTTTTACCTGTAAGCCTGGACTGACATGCATACTTCAAAGTAATACTTACTTCAGTTGTCTGTTTAGTTCCTCAACATAATTCTTTTGGTCCAAAATTGCAGCAATCTGTACATTTCTAAAGCAAGCACAAAATAAAGTTGGCTTTAACCAAATGATGTAGTGAACTATGTACTGCAAATATACCTATCACACGCAAATGTCCATCTTAATTGTGCTTTTTAAAAAGAAAGGAAGCAACTTCATCTCACAGTCATGAAGTCAATAACTTACATGTTGTGACATCAGTGAGAGACAAAAAAACCCAATGCTTTAACTGCAAACAATTTGTCTTAACTGCAAACAATTTGTCTATATACAACAGAAGAACGTATACAGTCTCAAAAGAAAAAGGATGTTTATTTACTCTGCCGTAACTCTGGTTCTTTGAAATACTGACTGAATCCCAAGCTGAGGGCTTAAAGGTTAGCAGGTTCTTTTTCACTGCCATCTTGCAATCCTCCAATACTGTCCATCAGGTAAAGGAAGCAGGTGATGTTGCTGAGCCTTGCTTCAGAGTGCAAATATTTATCCAGCTAACTAGTAATACAGAACAACGTAGCATACAATTTTTCTCAACACTGCGAGATCAGAGAACTTCATCTTTAGGGAACCTGACTTATTTCTACAAAGAACAGGGCACCAGTCAAGAAATCATTTGTTAACATGCAAAATCTGAGGTATTTGGTGAGCACATACCTTTCCTTACCCCCAATGTCATCATCACTCTTTAAATACATAGAGAAATCGATCACCCCAACCTAGGGGAAAGCAAATGTACAGTTTCTTATCATACAAGTAACTGCCGTTGATACTTACGATCTTGTATCTACATAATTACTAAAACCGCAGTTACATCAGCTTTTTTAAGACTGATCCAGTTTCAGCCAGAAGCTCAAAAAAACTGAACTGTAACATTTTAAACAAAATTCTTTTTTTTTAAAGTGTAGTCTCACCTATTTGTTAAGAATTATGTTACCTTTGAACAAAAATTAACAATGTGCCAGCCAGCAAATCCCAAAGAGAAGATGGCTTCTTACCTCTGACTGAGCTTAGCCAAGAACTTACAGGAAGACTGTCATTTGGAGAATTATCAGATACTACTCAACCCTATCACTGATTGAGCAGACTTGTGATAATTTGTCTGTAATGTTTCACATTATTTCCTATCACAGCACATCTCCCAAACTGATGTTTCCCCCATGTGTAGCTTTTCAATATTCCTTGCCAAATAATGCTACCTCTCCGCACTTGCCGATTCCCAGGTGTGCCAACTCAACTGCATTCATTTTTTTGAACTTTCCAAATCTGAATCTGATTAATTTATTTTCTATTCAATTGTAATTTAATCATATATGCTATAAATAACATTACTGTGAGTTACGCTTCCAACTCTATTAATGAACCTCTAACAAAAGTATTTAACCATGTTTGCGTTGCCAAAACTCTTCCTTTTTGGTCTCTAGCAGCTTCTTCATTGAAGTATTTCAATTTCTCTGACCTACTGCTTCCTTCTTGAGCTCCTTTTAGCTTTTGAATACAAGCAACTTGCTAAGTCTAACATTTCCTTGGTTTGTACAATGCTCTCCTGTCAGTTTCCTACGATGGTCTTTTACTTGTTCTTTCCGTATCTTTTCTAAAAAGCCTCTCCTCCAAAAGCTTTCTTAAAAACGTATCTTGCTTATTAAAGCAAAATACTATTTCTATAAAAAAGTAAAATGTTATCTTTATAAGTTACTTTGTTTTAATTCTCCATGTGTGCATACACACATTTCACCACTGAATCGCATTCTTCTAACATAGCAAAACTATGCTCCCAGAGGCGACTTCCATCATCCTTCAGAAGTTTCCCTTTCTGCTCAATGCAACTTGCTGCTTCTGGCTTCTCTGGGAAGGTGCCTTACTTACACGACTCTTCACAAACTCTAAAATTACTCTAAAATCTCATCTGGACAGCCACTACTACCTCCTCAAATCAAGTTTTATCTCCCCTCACACAGCAAAGCCACCAAGTGACCTAGATAACAAAGGTGTAGCTAGCAACAGATTTTGTCATTTCTAATACACACATGTAATTCTCAATACCAAGAAGAACACATTGGTAAGTTTTCTATAAGTACAGGCTTTTCAATATTATGTCTTCTGGTAGGCAAGATCGGTGCCTAAAACATTAGATAGTAACTAGAATGAACAATCAAAGACAAGTTAACCCTATGATTCAACAGCACACATACCCAATTAGCTACAACTTTTCTTTGCCATAGAACCTGCTTCGTCGTCAAATATATGCCGAAATCCAGCAACAATCACTTAGAATCATAGAATCCTTTAGGTTGGAAAAAACCTTGAAGATCATCAAGTCCCACTGTAAACCTAACACTGCCAACTTAAACTATTTTTCCACAAAGAAGCTGGACAAAAACTATCAGGACTGAACACAGCCTACATTTATTTATAAATACTTGTGTATTTGCCTTTAAAAAGAATCTGTCAAGATTTCCTTGAAAAAGATCAGAGTTCAAAGTCAAAGCAGTTTGCAAAGGAGGAAGAATTCGAAGTCTTGTTTTGCAGACTGAAAGCAGTCACCCTCTTATAATGTCTTTTATTACACTATGCAAAGCAAGTTTTTGTTTCAGGTCCTCGAAACATTCCTATTATGTTCCAGAACAACAATAAATGAACCAAACGGGATGAATTGATCACGGAACTATACTTCTCCCGCAAAGGAAAAGGATGAGTTATGCAATTAAGATGGAAAGAGCTCTGCATTGCTACTACTGCATCCATCTGATGACAAAGCATAAAACTTTACCCTTGCACTCTGACAATTACCACCATCTAAAGGTCTCACCCAACTGCTACTGAGGTTAATGTAACAGCCTCCACAGATCCAGGAGCTGGATCAGGCCCTAAACAGTCTCTAGTAAGATTTCTAACAAGTCACAACTCCACAGTAACAAAATTCACTGTACATAAAAATTTTATGGTTTGCACGTACATTACTTTACCTGTATTGACTTACTTGTGAATCTAGATCTTCTCCCTTCACACACAGGTTAGCATCTATCACATTTAACCCAACTAAGAGCCCAACAATAACCGCTCCTTCTTCCTCCATCATTAGTGCATGATACTCATAAAATTCACTGTTAAAGAAGAAAATTGCATCTTATTGGTATATTCAGTATATTTACAAGCAATAAATTAATAATAAGTGACATCTAAATCTAAATTGTTTCTCTAATTTTAGCCTTACGCCAACATCCTTGAAGATGAACCGGGTCTGCCCATACTTTCACCTCATAAATATTTAAAAACTGAAAGTGCATGGTTTGTATCAGAAGCTATTCCAAACAAAGATGCTACCTTTGGCTCCAGAAATCTGAGCCACAAGATGCTGGAGGGCTGGGAAACCTGGAGGGCAAGACTTATTTTGCCTTTAACAAAGAAAAAAAAAAGCCTCTTCACTTGCTATTAGCCACTTTTGAATAGAATACCACAACAGATGGGTATTTGGCCACACTGAGTCAGACAATTCTTACGTTGTTAAAAAACACTAGAGAATGCAGAAGAAGAATGGTAAGAAATTTGCCTTGTGCGAAAAAAGGTCTGGACTTTAATGAACACATGCTTGAAATTAAGGAAGCCAGGTAAGAGATTAAATGGGTAAGAGAAGAGAAATGGAAAGGGCCAAAATGCTAACAAGGTTTTTAAAAGAAAAACAGTCCACTAAACAAGAGAATACCAACAGTTACTTCTTCCACCTTGCATTTTTAACATAAAGTTTTAGACTCTATGAAACAAACTGTGCTGTCAATGGAAAAGTCCGTAGCTGTTGACCACCGATGTCATCCTGATATACCAGCATTATCTAGGCATACAAGAAAATTCTTAAAAATATGTATAGGTTATAGAACTGGAATTAAGATGACAAGTTTTTTTTTCCTGTTGCGCTTCAACTACCTCATCAGAAAGGAGAAGCTATACTAGAAGAGCGCAATGCCAGTTTCAGAACTGTGAAAGGAAAGTTCAAGGCAACAGTCCTCCATGCAATGGTAGCTCAGTAGAAAACCATGCACACGGTAGGGGTGAATTCATCTCCTCTCCAGAGGTTTCTAGTCCGTATTCTGCACGGCGGAGGACTGCAGCAGGAGCCCTTCCCCACCAACTGCATCTATGAAAGAACAGTCAGGCACATTGCAGAAGGCCCACCTACGTGATGGGGAGGAAACACCTCTTCACCCATCAGCTGGCCCTCAATCTTGATGAGGCAGCAGTGCTAGGTCCCTCTACCCTGAGGACTGCAAGAAATCAGCCCACAGGCCAGCAGCTACGCCTTGCTACACTAAGGATACATTAAAGAGTAGCAAAAAGAAAATACTAATTTTTTTTTTTCAGGCGACTAAACCTCTAAAAATAAATTATAAACAAAATCTACTTAATTGTTTACCTGAGAAGATCTCTCTGAATGATTAAACAGCGAAGATAGTCAGCCATTTTCTTCTGCATTAGTGCTAACCGTAGCCAGGCCCGGGCACGGCCCAGTGGTGTTCTGAAAAAAAGGGCATGAAGACAAACAGTCCCAAATCAACAATATATCAATTAATTCACTGTCTTAAACAACATTACATCAATTAATTCACTGTCTTAAACAACAATACATCAATTAATTCACTGTCTTAAACATCTTATCAGTCTACTGGTAGAGCAATTGGTATTTCTGAAGGGTATCTTAAACTATTAGTTGAGCAACGCAGTCTGGGAAGCCGTAATGTGTAGGCTTTGATTCCAAGCTTTGGCACAGTATCAGAAAATTTTTCATCAACTCAGCTGGGCTTGGGAGCAGACTCTGGCAAGAACAGGAAGAGAAAGCACAAGAGCCTGACAGTAAAATTAACTGTTTTGCTCAGAGCGCGACAACATGCGACTTTCTACCTACTGCTGTACCTGAATGCGCTTTGTTCTCACACAATACACCGCTAGCAGCATGGAAAGAATTTCTAAGAGTGGTCCTGTTTTTCTGTAAGTACCTTCTTCTTAACCTGACAGTGCCTGTACAGATAATCTTGAAAGTCCTGTTTCTAGCTGAAGTAAAACATCTGCAACAATTCAGACTCCTTTCTGCAACTGGCTTATAAAATCTTGAGAGGAATTGTGAGAAAAATAGCCAAATGTCCACTACAACTCACCACGCAAGCTTGCCTTCCCAATCCTATTCTCTGGGTCTACACAACATGTACTGAATTCTAGCTTTAACTCAGACTTGTTTACAAATTCAGTGGTATCTCAGAAAGACAATTCAAAAAAGATGAAAATGTATGTAACTGGCAAACATTAATATCCAACAAATTAAACCTGGACCTTTAGATCCTCCTCTTCTAGTGCTTGCACATAAGTGCTATGTCAGGATAGGAAGAGTGTAACACATTTGTCAAAAGGATATTATTTCATCTGGCCAGATACAAGAGTATATAATAATTTATATACCTATGTGCTGTAGATAAAGTCTAAAGCTACAAATTATAACCCTTATGCTGCAATATACGAATCACAATGTAACCAAATCCTTTTGGAATGTAATGCATGGCCAGTTATAAAGCTAAATACAAAGCAGAATGCAGAGGAATGGGAGGAGACTGTAGTTCACAGCATAGATTTACATTTGAGAAGGACCCTACATGCAAGAATCTGAAAAGCTGCCTCATGCTTTCCTCTTCAGTAAATTACCTTTTGTTTTTATATAGCCTTTGCTGACTAGACTCAGGCGTTCGCTGCAGTTCTAGACTGCAGACTGTCTGATACACAACCTGTTCCTTTTTTGCACCATTTCTGCCCACCATTCAGAAAACTCTTCTCCCAGGAACACCAGAAAAGAACGTAAAAATCCTACTTTTTTAGCTCTTTTGTGCAGAACATGAAAAGCTAGCAAGATTCACCTGTGCTCTCCCCTGATATCATGTGCTAGCTGTTCAAAGGCTTGATTAATGCCAAATGAAATCATGAAACATCTGTAGATTCTCAATCAGGTCCTTTATTTTCTTGCTGTATTTTACCAATACTACTTACTTAAGGCCAGGCAAATCTCTGACACTTGCTGCTATCTCCTCAGCTTCTGGATATAATTTCTCCACAAGTTCCAGAGGACCCCAGATGGTTTTATTGTAACTTAGAAAGGATTTTCTTACTAGGAAAAGAAAAATTAAGTAACTGAATTTATTTAAATTACTGGAGTAGCTTCCTTCAAAATAGCTGGTGTGACGAAAGAGTTAACTGCTGAGCCTAGACTTCCAGATAACAGATAACTGCAACACTGGTCGGTTCACCAGTATTCAAAGCCATGTTCCAAATGACTTTGCTGTGAACATAAAATTGCTGTGCTAGAACAAAACAATATAAAAAGGATGACTAGCTAAAAATATAAGCTACATACATACATGCAGTTGCGGTAATCCCTGGACCACTTAACAACAAATGGTATACAAAAGAAAAAGTTGGCAAATGTGGAAATACATGTTGTGAAGCATTAATAAGAGTACTATTAATTATAAAAGGTGACAGTTTACGTATTTTCTTCACTTCTTAAAGCAACATAACATACTTTGATTTTATCTCATTCAAGAAAGAAAGGAAGAAAAATGGCATGTTTGGGATGAGAAATATGCAGCTAGAGCAATTACCACACCTTTAAGACCATGCTTCAGGCAGTGCTCCATGACAACAAAGAACTGCTGCAAAGGTGGGTAGTCAGAGTCCAGAGTGCGGCCAAAGCTCAAAGCTGATTCAATGAGTCCTTTGATACTCAATTTAGCCATGTTCAGTAAATTTGCTCTTTCTACAGCAGTAGGGTCCTTTACAGCTAAGACAACAAAGGGGAAAAAAAAAAAAAAAA